ATCGTACAGTACGATCCAAAGATCGCCCAGTATAATCTCTTAGCTTTTCTCTTTTATTTCTACAGGATGATTCTCGGGATGATTAGAAATAGTCTCTATAAGTCATCCCTATTGTTACTTCATACAATATAGTTAGTTGATTTCAAGTAGGTCATCAAGTTTTATATAAATATCATATAGTATGATTAGTTCAAAAATTCGAAAATATTAGGAATGACCTTTCTTTATTAGATTTAAACGAGAATTTGACTTTTAATAGGACACAATGGAGAAAAAGGATTCATGTAGCCGACCCCACATAGTGGGATAAAGGCTTGATGTTGTTGTTGTTGTTGTTGTTGATTAGTTCAAAAATTATGGTTTCATTTGGTATGATCTTTTGGACGACCAAATTTCATCTCTAACAATCATTCAATACGATCAATATCATATAATACGATTTGCTATCATTAATTAAACTATAACTTTATAGACTAATTATAGGGGTTAATTTAAATAGGATTTTAAATATTCATACAGTATGAATCAGATCGTACAGTATGATTAGTTCAAAAATAGAATTTTGAATATCTTATTTAATCTATTCAGCAACTTTTGTTTTTAAATTGTAATGAATCGTGTATTACGATCGAGATTGTGCATTATAATTAGTTCACATAAACTAATTTTTTACTTAGCCGTTAAGCCCATTATTTCTATATTGATCATATAGTATGATTGTAAGTTGTACTACATGATTAGTATAGACTCAAGAAATAGAAATAAAGAAAAATAAAATTATAAACTTTATTTATTTGACATTCCTTTTCTACCCATTATTGAGCTTTCAATAGACTTGAGCAGTGTATGGCTTACCTTGAATGTTAGTGCTCACAAAAAAAAAGAAATATCAAAACTATTTAATGAGAAAAGTAATAATTTTATCAATAATGTATGCCATCATCAAAATCACAGACTAGGGATCCTGGATTACAAAAACAAGTTGGTTTGGGAGCTTATTAACCACATAATCATAAGGGGACAGAAATACCCAAAACCTAGCGGATGAACTCAAGATATTTTATAGTGTGAAACTCTAGAAATTTTTCTAGAGAGAGAAGCTCCAGCAATTTTCTAGAGAGAGAAAGTGCGTTTATTTTTGAATTTTTCACGGGCGTTTCCTGGTGGCGGGTTTGAAGATCGTCGATCGGAGGAAGGTTTTCAGGCCTTCTTCCGGCATTGCTATGGCGTATGAAAGATCAACTGGTTCTGATCGTATGGGGAATAAGTGTGTTCTGATTAAGGAGGGATTTCGATCTTTGCCTCATCAAGATTCGAATCCTGAAGGTAAAGTTAAGAAACCTGTAATCGAGAGTGTTAATGGTGGAATCATTGCAAATTCTATACCACAGTTGGCTTCAAAAAATTTGAATCTGGATACGTCTTCGTCGGCAGGATTGGTGTTGAAAGTTAACAAGTCTTTGTGTAACAAGCAGATTGTAACGGGTTAGAATTTAATGTCCGACGTTGAGAATCTTGATCAAGAAGTACCCATTGGTATTGATTCTGTGCAGGAGTGTGTTAATAAGGATGGAAATGTCAAAAATGAAATTCTGAAGGATGAATTTATGGAAGCTTGGAAGAAACCTCAGCACATCAGGCTTTCTTTCAATTATGACTCTGTTGAAATGTCAGACGATGGAATTACAATCAAGCTAAATGCGGAAAAGGAGATTATGAACTCCAATGTTCTAAAATTCTCACTGGTTGTTAAAGTTCTGGGAAATAAGATTTCATTTCCTATGTGTAGTGTTGAATTGAGAAGACAGTGGTACATATTTGTTAAATTTTACATGACATCACTGGGCATGAACTGGATTCTTTGCTCTTTCAAGAGCGAGGAGGCCATGGATGAAGTGTTCAATGGGGGACCATGGTATGTTGGCAGTTACATTGTGGGAATGGATAAATGGAGTGCATCTTTCAATCCCAATTCTTTCAAGGGAATCACTGCTTCTGTTTGGATACGGTTCCCAAGTTTGCCTCTCTACTGTTGGGACGAAGATAATATTGCTCGTATTGCGTCCAGAATCGGAGTTTCTATGTATGTGGATGGAAATTCTTTTAGATGGGGCAAACGTGGTTTGTCAGGATCTGCGTAAGACTTAACCTCGAAAACAGCCTTCCTAAGGGTGTTTGGATCGATGGCATTGCTGGAAGGTTTTTTCAGCAAGTTGAATATGAGAAGATTGATATGCTCTGTTTTCACTATGGGAAGGTGGGACATGATAAGGTGATATTTCCTGAGGTTAAAAAGAATGAGACAAATGTGAAGGTGAACAACGATCAGGTTAATGTTAGTTATCCCGCAGATGAGAAGACTTCAGAACCAAAATATGGTCCGTGGATCCACGTTCGCTTCAAGAACATAGTGTTTAGAAATAACAAAGTAAATAAAGAAGGTACATTCACTAGAATGGAAAAGATAGTAAACAACAAGGCATCGATGGCTGAGCATCAGGAGAACGTGGAAGAGATTTATGATAGAGCTCAGGAAGATGTACAAATGGTGGGGGGCTCTGCTGTGGACAACAATGTTAAAGATAAAAAAATTAATGTTGAAGTGGAAAATAAATTTCAGATTCTTATGAATGAGGCTGATGAAGTTGAAGAGGGAGAAGTGACGGATCAACATTTTGGTAATAATTTTGTTGATTCAAGACTGCTAGATGGTAATGCATTGAGCAGTTTTCTAATGAAGTATCCAAATGTAATTCGGTTAAGATTAAGTTGGCTAAGGAGCTAAGATCTTTGGGTCCGGTTGAGCCTGAGCATAGGAAGAAGAGAAGGGATGGGAAAGGGAATTCTACAGGCGGGGACGGTTCCCCTTTTGTTAATTAATGTCGAATCTATTATTCTGGAATTGCAGGGAAGCTAGAAAGAGAGAGGCTTCGCTGTATTTGAAGGAAGTTGTTCGGGATCAGAAGGTGGTGTTTATTGCTATTATGGAAATGAAACTCTGTAATATTGACAGATATGATGTGGATTGCCTTATTGGGAGAGAATGGTATTTTTTTCATCAACCTGCAGTGGGATTATCTGGAGGTATCCTGAATATTTGGAATAGAAATAAAGTATCTTTTACTGCTCAAGAAAGTTCATCTCAAGCAGTTATTGGAGTTCTTTCCACTCCTTCATTGGGAGATTGGAAAGTGGTAACAGTTTATGGGAGTAGATGTTGTGTGGAAAGAAGAGATCTTTGGAGTATTCTTGAGAAGAACATGATAAGCCCGTGTCCTTCTTTAATTGGGGGAGACTTTAATTGTATCCTCAAGAAGGAAGAGAAGAAGGGTGGGAAGAGATTCATCTTCTCTAGAGGACCTAGAGAGATGAAGAGTTTTATGACTATTGCTGATTTTTATGATGCAGGTTTTATTGGACCAAGTTATACTTGGTGTAACAATAAAGATGGGTCCTCAAGGATTTGGGAGTGGCTTGATAGATGCTTGGTAAATTCAGCTACCTTGCATTTGGTTCCTGCTGGTAGAGCTAGGCATTTAGCTCGTGTGGCATCGGATCATTGTCCGATTATATATAGGATGGAAGCTTGGCAGTCTAATAAGGAGAAGTATTTTAGATTTAAGGATACTTGGAGATCATATCCAGCTGCAAGAGGTATAGTTTACAAATCTTGGTTGAAAAAGGACTTTGGGGATGAGGTAGACATTCTACATAGAAAGATTATAAGAACTTTGAAGGCCCTATTCTTTTGGAATAGGAATAAATGTATTGACATGTGCAAGCTTAAAGATGAGCTAAAAAAGGATATTATTGATTTACAAACCAAAGAGATGTCTGAAGGTGGTTTCTTGGTTGATGACATGTGTCTTCTTAGACATAAGGTTCATGAATTAAATGTTACCTTGAAGAGGATTGCAACGTGGTGGAACCAACGGGCCAAGACTAGGTGGATGGAGGAGGGAGATGTGAATTTAGTTTTCTTTCATAATTTTGCTTCTGCTAAGATGAGTGCAAATCTGATTAAGCATATCAGGAGTGCTGACAATCGGATTGTGGATGAGGAAGAGCAGATTGAGCAGATTTTTTTGAATTTTTTTTAAGACAAGTGGAAACAAAGGAGATGTATTCTGATGGACTGGCCGGAGATTGAAGCTTCTCAGAGGATCAGTGATTTGGATAGGCAGATGTTGAACATAGAATTTATTATGGAGGAATGCAGGGTGGCTGTTTTCCAGCAGGGGAACAACAAATCTCCAGGGTCTAACGGTGTTGCATCTTCTTTCTTTAAGAGTTATTGGGATATTGTTGGAGAGACAACATGGCTTGCAATTAAGAAGTTTTTTAGCACTGGAATTATGCACAAAAATTGGAAGGACACATTGATTGTGTTGATCCCCAAGGTTAATAATCCAATTATTCCTTCAAACTTTCGTCCCATTAGCCTTTGTCAAACTACCTACAAGATTGTTGCATCTATGCTAGTGAATAGATTAAAGAATCTCATGTGCAAGATGATTTCAGAGGAACAACTTGCTTTCATTCAAGGGAGAACGATGTCAGATCATTGCATTCTTGCCCAAGAAATCTTCCATAAGTTTAAAACATCAAGGAATAAGAGAGGATTAATGGCAGCTAAGCTTGATATGGAGCAGGCCTATGATAGCATGGGATGGAGTACTTTGCAGCAAATTCTTATGTGGTATGGATTTCCTTCAGTTTTTTCTAGTTTTGTGATGGAATGTGTGTTGAATGTGAGGTTTTCTATTATCATGAATGGGAAGAAGCTTAGATGGATTGATGCCTGCAGTGGATTTCATCAAGGGTGCCCTTTATGACCTTATTTGTTCATTATGTGTGCTCAACTCCTTTCTAATGCTATCTTATAGAGGGGTCATAGTTTGGGTATTAAAGTGGCTTCCAAGGGACCTCGAATAACTCATTTACTCTATGCAGATGACGTTCTCATCTTCTCTCAAGCAACATGAGGGATTGCTTGGCAAATGATGAGAATCATTGATGAATTTTGTAAGTGGACAGGTTTGAAGGTGAATGCTAACAAGTCTCAAATTTTATTTGGTAAAGCTGTTGGTATAACCTGCAGGAAGAAACTTACCAGAATTCTCGATTTTAAATCTGTTAATGAGTGGAAATATTTGGGTATTAAAATGTCTATTAATAGATTAAAGGCGGCAGATTTTCAAGACATTTTGGTTCAGGTTATGGAGAAACTAAATGTGTGGGGGAGAAGAAATATTTCTTTGGGAGGCAGAATCATGCTGTTAAAATTTTCACTATTAAACTTACCAAATTTTTCATCACACATTCGATGGTTCCTAAAAAAATTCTGCAGGAGATTGAGAAGTTATGTAGGAATTTTGTTTGGCACAAATCTAATAGTGAAAGAGGATTACACTTTGTTGCTTGGGATGAATTATGTAAGCCAAGACGTGCTGGTGGTCTTGGTTTACAATCTTGTATCATTAAGAGTGGTACAATGAAAGCTAGAATTGCTTTGAATTATATTCAAAATCCTTATTCCCTCCTACACCGATCTCTCAAAGCTAGATATTCTGATAACATTTTTGAGGGAAATTGTAAACATAATTCTTCTGTTGCTTGGAAAATTATGATTGAGGGAGGTAAGTATCTTAAGGAAGTGGTTAAATGTAAGGTATGCAATGGCAAGGATATAGATGTTCTAGGTGACATATGGGTTCTAGACAGAAGCTTCAACTCGTGACCTACTTATATCAACTGTGTGGATTTAGAAGGTTTGAAAGTTTGGCAGGTTCTAAATGATGATGGAAACTGGGATGAGATAAAGTTGAGATTTTTTTTTCACGAGGACTTGACTTGGCTAATCAAGCAAGTAAAAGTGGTCAAGGAAGGTGGAAGGGATATGCTAGAACCTATTAAGAAGCTGACGGGTTGCTCTATTTCAGCTTTAGCCTTTGAAGCTGTGATGAACAAGAGACACAATGATATTGATGATGGTTTTATAAATTGGCTCAAGAAGCTTAAACTTAATGTTAAGGTAGAATTATTCTGGTGGAGGCTTAGTAAGTTTGCAATTCCAACCAATTCTTTCCTTAAATATAGAAGATTGGCTACTAGTGATTTTTGTGTTAGAGGCTGCGGTATGACTGAGAATTATGAACACATTGTGGTTCAATGCAAGCATATTACTTATATTATTACTAAAATCAGAGAGTGGGGATTTGCTATCAGTCTTTTTCAATCACTTGATGAATGTTTGGTGGAACTTAGACGGCAATCTAGTTGTAATCCTGGAATGGTTAGACTGTATTGTACAACGGTTTTCTGGAATTGGAAAAACCGTAACATGGTCAAGCATGGGAAACCTGCTATTTCTGCTTCGATGGCTGCTGCAAATGTGATTTCTTTAGCTTCATCTAACCTTCATCCTTTACTATATAGCTGGGGTGCTAACCTCTCTTGGGAGTATTTGAATTCTTGGCACCCTCCACCGCTAGATTGGATCAAGGTTAATGTTGATTCTTTGTTGCTGTCTAACTACCGGGCTAGTATAGGAGGCATCTTCAGTGATAATAAAGGTAGAATGCTCTTAGCTTTTGGAAGGAATTCATTGCATTGGGACAGTGGTCAATTGGAATTGGAATCTGTTTTTGCTTTTCGGGATTTCATTCAAGTTTGGATGCTTGAATATATTGGCATCATCATTGAAAGTGACAACCTCAATGTGATTAATTACATTCAACAATCTATGAAGAAGACCAATTGGCAGACGGAGAAGATCTTGGGGAATAAGCTTTACTTTCTTAATGATTTCAATAAAGTTGTTTTTCATCATGTAAGTAGGAATTGTAACAAAGTAAGCTGATTTTTGTGCTACTTTGGCATTAGATGGAAACTTTTTGCTTGATTGCTCTTCTTTTGGTAGTATTCCATCTAACTTGATTAATTTGATCAAGAAGGATGGCTACCCTTTTATCAATTTGTAAGTAGTTCTCTTTGTTTATTTTAATGCAAATTTGCAATTTTCAAAAAAAAAAAAAAAGAACTCAAGATATTTTACCCTTAAGGAATGAATCTGTCTACATACACTTATTATTCCTAAATAAAAGCAACTTCTCTACTCCAAAATAAAAATTATCTACAGTAATACACAATACTATTTGGAAATCTTGTATTAGAAAATGCAAATTAATTGTAATTATACTTTCTTTGAAAAAATTCAAACGTAAAATTTTAGATTTCAATTTTGTAGTCAAACTCATCATTATGAATGATATATCATCTCGGGTGGTGAAAATATCATTTTCTAATGGGTTCAAACTACGAAACTAAAAACTTCATCCCAACTACTATAATCAAACTTATGAGAGAATTACATATAAATATGAAGAATCAAAATGATATTCAATCATATGTTTGACTATGCTAGTTAGAATGCTCTATCTTCAATTATTATTGTCAGATATCGTAGTGAACTACATGTAACCCCAAAGGGTAAAAATGATGTTAGAATACGTATTTAACTATAATAATATAGATTCTATCATTAATTTCTTATTCAACCATCTTGATGGTAAATGATATGTTTTCCTAAAGAGAGATAATATTATTTATTATCAATCATTTGAATATGACGATATTTATCATCCATTATTTTGAATTTTTTAAAGAGAATAATTTCCCCCCATTCTATTTAAGAGCATAATAAAGTAAGGGTTTGATTTATCCTAAGTCTTGAATCTCTTATAAAGGAAAGCCTTCATAATTAATTACATTATAGGAAGTTTAAGCTTCCTATGAATACTCTCAATTAAAATAATGATATAAATTTTATTTGAGTTTTTTCAAAGAGTGATAAGAAAGGAAGGATGTTGAAATTTTATTTGGGATTTAGTCAATTTTGAACACTTATTTTGGAGGTCAAAGGATAAAAAGTATGAGGATTTTTTGGATTATGAATAATTGAGAAACCCTCCAATCTATCATATGTTAGGCTTAAAATTTTGGCTGAGTAAAAGCTCTAGTTTAAGTTGGCATTTTTTTTAAGAAGGTTGTGATCAAATTTTTGATATTGGAGACTTATGCTTTTGGGTCAACCCTAGCTCCTAAATCTAATTTGGGCACTAAAAATAGTGACCTAAACCTAACTAATGAAAAGAAAATTCGGGCTTACATTGGCCTTGATTTGATTGCCATGTAAGGTTTGTTCTTTAAGTTTTTGAGAAATTGGGGCTGGCATCTAAAGAAGGTCATAAGTGGTCCCTTTACTTATGTATATTGGGATTATATTCAATGCAATTAAATTTTATTAATTTTTAGTTTGTTCTAATGAATGTATGCTGATTGACTCTTGTAAGTAAAAATTATATGATGAACTTTAAAAATTAGGCTTATAAAATATATTTTTTCATTGAGATGTATAATATCCCTTAGATAAAGCTACACCCTAATTGGTTAAGTGGTATGCCACGACCCATAGGCGGAGAGGTGCCTAGCAAGGAGAAGAGTTAATTATGAATGCATAAAAAACCACCAGTATGCCCAGACTTAGTTATTAAGATTCGTTATCCTTATATATGTGACCCTGATATTTTTTATTTCATTACAAGAAAAAGAATTTTTTTGCCCTTAAAAGCCTAATCGCATTCCAAGCTAAAACAAATCTCAAAAGTAGGTAATAAACCTAGAAAGGAAAGAAATTCTTGTTCCAAAATAATTTAAATAAATCCCAAATCATACTATATCAAATGATATAAAAATCCATGTGGTTCCAATCCTACTTAATAACACAAGTTTTAAAACAGAATATTTTTTTATCTACAGTTCTTTCCTTTAGGCTCCCATGATCAACTAGGTCAGGATATCTAAATTAAAGAATGTCTCCCTAAAGGGATGTTTCTTTTCTCTTTGGATATCAAGTAATCCTAATTTGGCTCTCCAAATAGAAGGAAATCCTCCCCCAAGGGTGTTTCCATCCTTTTTTAATTCTAAATTGGATATTATTATCCCATTTTAAATTAACTTTTATAACTCTTTGAAATTTAAATTTACATGTGAAACCCAAGATCTTTTTATCATAACAATATAGAGAGTCTTCAACTTCTGCATTTAGTAACCTGAAAAATTTACAACTTACAACGTATCCTGAGTAGTTTATATATGGAGTCATAAAAAATCCTAAGCATTTATTTAATGAATTGATCACATTTGAGTAAACATATTCACTTGGCCATATTTTTCTTTTTTAATTTTTAGGGGACTAGGCATTTAAAGCACATACAAAAAATTCTATTAGTCAAATTTCATTTAGCCCTACATAAGCATGGCTACCTGCATAAGACTTCATTAGCATCTAGATTATTCCTAACTAAGAAAATCTAGTGCCCATCACCAATAACATCACATACAGCACAGGAAAAGAAAACATCACATTACATGTATCACAGATCAAACCAAATCACAACATCTATCATGCCCATAAAATAAGATAAAATTCGTATCACAAAAGAAAGGAAAATATGTATAAAAGGATAGTGTCCTTACCTAAAATAAGGATTGATTGTCCTAACAAACCATCTTCAGTGTGTGCGTCAGGCTGTGTGGTCTGGATGTATCCTAAATGGGTTATTACTTACAATTTTCTAATATTTTCCTTTAATTTATAATAGGTCAAAGAGAATTTAATTTGAGTTTAATTTTAATATTTTGATGTTCATTTTAGAATGAATTTTAAATGTTGAAGTTGATTAATTACTAGTTCCCTAAGGACCTAAATTTTAATTAGGTGTTTTAGTCCTTAAGTCTCAAAATTTAATAAACATATACTCTATAAAATAGAATATGCATAAGGTACAGATGTTTCCATTAATTTTTTATTTATTAATTAATTAGGTTGAACAATAGTTATCTTTTTTTACACCTGGGTCGTAAGGTTTATTTCACCCTCCATGGGTTTAATTTTATAGCCTCGTAGGACAGGGTTACCCAGCAGTTTCCTTTGGGTTTAAGTTTGAATTAGTTTTTGAGTACATTATTTAGGTTTGTGATTATCTTGTTAAGGACTTATTAAGCTTACGATTTTTGGCTTGCACTCCATCAAATCCATTTATGGCATTATCACAACGAGCATGAGAACCTAGAGCCTTCTTAAGACACTTAGCCTCGCAGTTTGAGGTAGTCCATCTTAAAAACATAATTGATGGAATATTGGTAATAAATTTTAATGTTATCACCTGATTTAATTTATTGGATTGGTGGTTTATTGAAAAATTAATTAATTATTAATTTTTGGAATTTAATTAAATATTTTAATGCATTAAATATAGGTTTCATTTCTTAACTTTTTAATTAATATTAAGTTTTAGAGTTTTCAGTTTTTAAAAAATATTAAATCCTAGGATGATTAAAATACCACTTAGTTATGAATTTATGAATTTTTTGCATTTAATCAAGTTATTTAATTGCATAAATAGAGTGATTTTCTTACTTTATACCAAACTAATTCCAAATCACTTGAAGTCTTTTCCACAAGTTAGGAATCACTTATGGGGATCATTTGAAGTGTTTAAAATTTATTTGGTATTTTTTATTATATTCAATTATTTATTTAATTAATTATTGAATTTTACTTATTTTTTAATTATGATTATCTTAAAAGCTAGTCATAGGGCTTTTATTTTTCTTAGATAGGATACTTAGTTATGAATATTTTGGGCCACTTAACCACATCAGCAAAGCAATTTAACCATCAGATCAAGCCATGTGGGAACGAATGTTTCTGATGAAGCCATAACACCCAATATAGAAGCTACACAGTGCACATTCAAGCCCTAGGGCTGTCGTGTGCTATTTGTTAAACTGGGCCATCTGATCGGCTGATTGGATGGCTGAGATTGATCCAATTTATGTAGTTCAAAATGAACTAAACATTTAATCCTTATAAATTTTAATCCAACCGTCAAAATTTGATAAAATTTAAAATAAATAATATTTCAATGCTTGGAGTTTGGAGGCCCTATGCATTGAGATCTATGAGTAAATGAAACTTGAACTTTAAACTTCAACGTATAATATATCGCTAACTTATGGATGGATTTCTTCTATTTTGGGCTTGTTTTACTCCTAGAGAAGTCCTCTTAAACTTTGTAAAAGCCCTTGAATTGGGTTACACTTGATGGAGATATATCTTCATATTTCTTGCTTTTCTCTTTATTTATGTCTCTCTCTTTTCAAATGGTGGTTTTGGAAGTTACAAGGAGCTAGGGAAGGGCTTGGGAAAGGTGGAGAGAGCTCTGGAGAAGGAAGAGGAGAAAATTTTGGGGCTAGAGGAAGCTTAGAGGATGAGAATACTAGGAAAATGAATATTTCCCATGCTTTTTCCCATTTTAATTCCTAGGATTTGCTTGGATGGTTGGGATTGATTAGAATGGATGCTTAGATGATTTACACCTGTTCAAGGTGGTTAGAGGCTAGAGAAATGGCAGCATGTATGTATGTGGATTAGGTGAGCTCTTATGAGAAGATGGAACCACATTTTACCCATTTTGGCTAAACCATGGCTTGGGTTTGACTTAGGAGAAATTTAGAAAGGGTTTAGGGTTTATTTGTGTGGTTTTTTGTTGGCTAATTTGAAGGGAAATGAAGTGCTTGGAAATGCTTGACAAATTAACCATGTCTGGAAGGTCTTTTTGACTTGTTAACCTGTCAACCAACCAATATTGACTGGGATAGGTCTTGGAAAGGTCATGCATGTTGTAGGAATAAAATCCAAGGGATTTAAGGCCAAGGGTTGGGTGTTTTCATGAAAGGTTGATTACATGCATGATTTTGACCATT